CTTTGTTATTGTACCTAAATTAAATTATAATAAAAAATTACACAAAAAATAGGAATTTTAAATAGTTAATTTGATACGAATATCGATATATTTTTATTAAAAAAAACATTATCGCTTTCTTAAAATCACATAAAGTCATATTATAACATCGACTGAGATAAATAATAAAATGAATAAATAATACAACAAAATATAATATATAATATAATATAATAGTTATATAATATAACTTAAAATTATAAATGAATATATATATATATATATATATGTGTGTGTATGTATATATTTAATAATAAAACATAATTATTATTATTTGACATTGACATTTAAAGACTTATATCAATTACAATTCCCGAGGCATTCAACACCCCTTATTGGGGGTGCCATTAGCACTCCCCTTAAGGAAAATCCAAAAAGTATTAAGATGATATCATGATAATTGACCATTGATATGTTACTAAGTTATGGTTAAGTTTGAGATGCACATTAATAAAAAAAAAATTAGGATAAGGATTTGTGCATAAAAAGGAAGATAAAATTGATTTTGTCAACTCAAAGAGATTGACTCATAAGGTTATCTTATTTAAATAACACTGTTTTTGCAAAACAGATCTTAGTATATAAAAATAAAATGAATTGTGTTTATAATCACATATATATATACTAATTGTGTACCCGCACAATGCGGCGGGAGCTGTAAATTTTAACGATGTTGAAGTTTTACTGGTTTTATTAGAGAAGTTTAATGACGATATAAGTTACACTTGGTCTTTACATATTAATATAATTTGAATAAATAAGAGTTATGGTTCCAATTACAGTCTATCGATGGAAAAAATTGTATGACATTTTAAAATCCAATATATTTAAAATCCAGCATATTTAAACGACTCCACAAATGTGTTCGATTTACATCAAGAGCAAAGAATCAAGAGATCGAGAGCGAGACCAAAAGTTCTAGAGTAATTGAATGAGAGATGATTGAGAGAACTTTTAATAACTTATGATGAATATCATTTTGAATCTCACCTTGGGAGATGGGAAGAAGACATAGAGGTATGAGATAGTGAAGACATGAGTGAAATATGTCGAAAGTATCTTGAGAACATGAAATGAAAAAGTAATAATGTGCATTGATAATTGTATGTTTTTTTTAATTGTAGATTAAGATATTTTAAGACATAATGTATAAAGTAGTAGTACTTAATGCATTATGAGTTGTTTTTAAGACTTTTGAAACTTTGTACATAAATGTATAGTGCTTTGTGCATTARAAATTGTTTTTAARACTTTTGATAAATTTAGTTTATACAGTAGTATATATATATATATATATATATATATAGAGAGAGAGAGAGAGAGAGGTGGTTATTTTATACAACCCTTGACATTCGTGCAACCAATACAACTCAGTCTCAACCGTCTATTTTATTTAATTAATATGTGATTTTATAGAAGTTTTGATTGTTTTCTGATATAAAGTATTAATCATAATCAATGAACCATATTCATCTTCTATAAATATTCAAATCATAATAAATGAACTCTCATCATTTCCATAATTATCTCAATTTATTGGATTGCATAGGTTGTACAAATGCGATGGGTTTTGTATTTGAAACAAACTCTCTCTCTCTCTCTCTCTCTCTCTCTATATATATATATATATATATATTAATACAAGAAGCATAATTAAAGTAACAATGTATTATTCAAATTCGTAATTAACACCACTCAACAATATTTGGAAGATGCACCAAAAGGATTAGTTACATTCCTTGATCAATTATATTTGGAAGATGCACCAAAAGGATTAGTTACGTTCCAGATGTATGGGGTTAAATCTGTCATCAATTATATGAAAAAGAATGATATGTATTAGTTACATTCCATGATCAAAGATGCACCAAAAGGATTAAAGCCAACAACAATATTAGGAAGGCAGTAGGAAAAAAGGATCATCTTCAATTATGCTTTGAAAACCATCATCATCTTCGCTTGAGTAATCTGATTTGGAAACCATTTAAACATAAAGAAGCCAATCAACTTCTTCCAACTTTACATCGTATTTGCATCAACATTAGCTAATTTAATCAACTTCTTCCAACTTTACATTGTGTTTGCATCAACATTAGCTATTAATCACCGTCTTAGGGGCCGTTTACCAAACACTTACTCAGTAAGCACTTACCGGTAAAATTTAACACTACTATTTACTTACTGGGTAAGATTTTAGTCCACAAATGGTATCGTATGCAATAATTTATCCGGTAAGCGCTTACCGTGGTAAGAGTCGTCCTCGTCACTTACCAGGTAAGACTCTTGGTCCCTGTCTCGCTCTTACCGGGAAAGATTCTTGGTCCTTACATATTCATCTGGTAAGGTAATGTAACTTGGTGTTCACTTACCCGAGTAAGCATTTGGTAAACGGCCCCTTAGCTTCCATAACAAAATTGTTTTATTAATAATTGTACACATAAGACAACGCGATTCCTTATAACCAACACGTCTTTATGAACAAAAAGCTTGAAGGTCGTTAAGATGAAAACAAACAAACCATCCTAGTTAAACTTGTTACATAAACAATAAGCTTTTGTGCATTAGATTTTGATTGCTCATGGAGAAATTTATTTATTAGATTATGATGCTAGCAATAGAGGAATTCATTAATTATCCAACAACAGTCCCATAACTGCTAGAGACATAAAGATTCATGCATTTGAGCTCTTTTAGGGAGGGATTTCTAAAAGGTGGGATTACATAGGTTTTTGCTAGGAAAGGGAAGAGAAAAAACCACTTCCTAACAAATTTGACCCACTTGCAATGGCAACCTACACAACAAATGAGGTCAACAATGCAAACAGAAGGCATACCAGTGAAGCACCTGTTTGTCTTGAAACTCTCAATTATGTATTTTGAGCTTGAGTCCTGACCAATTAAACTATTGATCTTATCTACAAGCCTGCAAATACAAATTGAATAACATAATTATAAGTGTCAGAATTAAGCTTGCAGCTCACAAACATTTTGATGCTATTATGAGCCTAGTTGAGTCAACCACACAAAACTGTCTGTAACAGAAAATTGAGCCTTACCAGTCAAATAACCTCGAGTATGTTGATAAGCATATTTCATATCATAACTTAACCATGGGGAATATTTGTAAGTACTCGAAAATCAATTCCGTATGTTGTCTTCTTAATATTTTTACTTTGCATATATGTTTTACCCTTTTGATCATTTTAATTGATTCAAACTACTTGTGAGAAGGGTTAGTACGGAATAAACACAACTAAAAGATAGATTAGTGATTTGCAACATCATCATAATTCTAGGAGTTCTACGATGGTGGGTTATTTACTGCACAAGAAGAAATTCCACATTTTACATGAACAAGTTTATAAATTCAAAATAATCAGATCAAGTGAACTTGGTAGCCAATTATTCTTGTTGGAAGCAAGTTGAATAGCTTAAAAATAAACACTGTGTCTCAATGGACTTTCTTTCATAAAATTAAAGGCTAGAAACCTTCATCAACAGAAACCATATATTTAATGCATTTCCCTTAATGGCACAGATTTAAATACATAACAGGACCCCTAAGGCTGAAATAAGACTGTAACTAACATCACACAATTGGGTATTAAAAAACTGTGAGAGAACCATCCCCGTCAATTTTAAAAAATCTGATTGGTTTCTTAAATGATAATTGGGTGAAAGTGAACAACTCTTGTACTGCTTCCAAGATACAACTGATCGGGAATACAACTTCAATCCCTGATGAAGAACAACACATAAACAAAAATTGTAAGGGGAAATCAAAGAACAAAAAGGAAATTAGATGAGAAGAGAATGAAACTATACCTAACTGGAGAAATACATGGCCCTCCTTCCATCAGACCTTTTGAGTTCCCATATTTCATCACCCAATTTATTCCTCCAAAAACCACCATAGCATCCGTCTCATCCAACGCATTAGCTTTCTCCTTCAAGAACCCTAGCAACCACTCACCAAAGCACTATAGTAACGTAACAGAAACATGATTAAGAAGCATTCATAACCAATTACGTAAATTAGTGTTTAGGTTTAAAAGAAGAGTAGAAGATGCAGAGGCCAAAATCGGGGGATGGAGAGCGTATACCAATACTACCACGCCAAAATTAGTCCAAAATGAGCAGTGTGAACCAAAGATTCGAGAACCTACAAAAAGATTCGAGAACACAGGTCAGATTTCAAACCCTAAACTCGAGAACACATTCGATAACACAAATAGATTTGTGTAAACAGAACCCTAAAAGATTACTTGGAAGATTGAAGAAGATGACGATGGAAGCTGGATTAAAGAAGATGACGATGGAGCGGTGGAAGTAATTGAGCTTTAATATATTGATGATTCGAGTAGAAAGAGTGATGAATCGTCATCTTGGGGAGCGATTTTGCCTGAATCGTCGTCTTGGGAGCGACGGAATTGCCTGAAACGTCGCCTCGGGGGAGGTCGTCTTGGGGAGTGACGTCTTGGGGAGAAGGTCTTGACTGCAGAAACTTACCAAGGTTATATTCGTCATTTAAAATTTTAAGACTTTTAAGACTTTTGGTAAATTTGTTTAATAAGATAATATATATATATATATATATATGATTTTAATAATGACATCGACAGAGACACATCTCGATTTTAATGTTCGATTTTATTATTTATCTCTGTCGATGTTATAATACGATTTTATGTGTTTTTAAGAAAGCAATAATAATTTTATTTTTGAATAAAATATAAATTTCAAAATATCATAAAAACTTGAAAAAAAGTATATCAATGTTAATATCAAATCAACTATTTAAAAGTTTTTTTTATGTGATTTCTTTAATTTCTTTATTTTATTAT